CAGTTGCTGACTGAGGTTAAACCACGACAGTTCCTATAAAGAAATGGCTATAGAGACTGATGGGAGGTGCTGTAGGAAGAAGTTTTCTGATTCTCTCCCCTTTACCTCATCATCAATTGCCTTTTTTATTTTTTAGAAAATTTAAAGAAGGCAAACTTCATTTTATTTGCAAAGATTAATTTAATCTTCTCTAATACTTTTTTAAAAATAGACTGCATGGACTATGCGTAGGAAAGCATATTAATGAATGGGAGAATTGTGGAGTATTAGAATAAGGTACCTCTTAGTTTTTCCAATTTCAGACAATTTTGCAGCACTTGCAGGTTGCTTCAGTATTTCCACACTCCCAGAAACCTTTTTTCTTTATATTCTAGCCTACTGAGAGCAAGCATGCTCATTCTGGTGGCTATGACTGTGCTGGGTACATGATAACTCTTGGGATTGACCCGTTTTCTCCACTCATCCTTCTCTATGCACTCGTTGTACTGTTAATTTCTTCCATAGTACCACAGGGCAAAATTCTGTTCTCCTCTTTGAGAAAATGGCCAATTCTCTTGAGAGACAGAACAACAGTATTTTGCCCATTTCAATAAGAGATTTACCCAAGGTCACACAATGAAGACCCAGGCCAGGAACCTCAATTTGAAATTCCCTCACTCTAGTCACATAAACCAAACGGTCCCTGCCTCCCTAATAATTCATGAATGCAGATAACTCTAACCCACTTACTGAATTATACCTGACACAGTACGTGAGCCATTTCTCCAGGGTATATGGCTAATGCATATCAGTTGTCACTTTGACAGTCACATGTGCATTATGCCTCAATATTACAGACTGAAACAAATGAGAGAGAAATATACATCAATCATAAATGTCATTACAGTATTTGGGGAGGCTAAGAATGAGAAATTAATTGGATTTTACTCAGTGTTTTATATCTCCACAGAAAGTCAACTTACATCTGTTGCATGTTCCACAGTTGCAAGGGGAATCCATAAAACTCCTAAAATGCTATCCCAGAGCAAGCCTTTCTTCCACAGCTCTATAATGAAGCCCCTTCCATCAGCACAGATTTCACTAAAAACAATGAATACACAAACCATTAAACTGAAAACGCAGTCTCAACTGCTCAGTAATCTATCATAATAACTTGAGTTAGTGACTTACAGCAGATACAGAGGTGTTTTGTTTTCAGTATACTCATAAAATGCAAGATAGAAGGCATGATACAAAAGGTTAGACTGGACAAGCCAAGTCTCAAGTCTTATTGCTCAGGATTGCTCTTACAAACTGATGAGGACAATTCTGCTGAAAATGTAGCACAGAAGTCCCAGCTGTCAGTAGCTTTATTTTGCTACAAGACTTGGCCCTATTGGATATAACCCAAGAAGAAACCAGGACCAAGAAGTGCCTTTAGTTCAGCTTTAGCTTCTTCTGAGCAGCTTCTGCATATGGAATTCCTCAGTTGCCTCCTCAGGACACTGGTCTCCTCAGGACAGCCCTGAAGAACCTGCATTCGCAGGTTCCACTGTAGCTAATTTTTTAGGTGCAGGAGTAGTATAATATAGCTAGCCTTTTGTCAGGTGAGTTCTTTTAGGTAAAACTGGGATCCACAAAAATGATCAGTCTTTTAAACATAAAACTCAAAGGAACATTTTCAATGAAACAGTAAGAGTTGGCAACGTCAGCTATGATGGCACATACTGTCAATCAACATGGACCATCAGCTAAGAATGATTTATAATGGTATGGGAAAAATTCCATCTTCCCTCACAAAAATCTAGAAGGAAGTGCCAGACCATTTCCTACAGGAAACTGAATCAGTTTCTTGTTTTCATTGTAAAGGAGGCCAGGTATAAAAGACATTTGAAGCTTCTTCCCTTCATTAGAATTGAGAAGTTGCACTACACAACAAAAATACAATGGGAAAACAGCTCTCAACTTCAAGAGTTGCAGATCCAGGCTCTGTTTTAGTTCTACCTGTAGGATGCATGCATTTTATTACTAACTGGTTTTGACCAAAAAAATACCATACCACAACCTTATTTTGCAAGAATTTAAAATAAAATTTTGCCAGGCCATATGACTCACCCATGACATTGAACTAAAATTAAGAGAGAAGTTATTTCTTCATGGAATGTCTGGCATTCCTTTATATATTACTATAAGCAGTTACAGACCAGTTCTGAAAATATGAACAATATAATAAAGTAGGCATTGGTGTGTCTGCTGTGACTGATTGTGTGTGATCTCCATTTGACTGAATTAATTTTAAGTACTAAAACTAATCTTCAACTGATTTGTGTTGTGTACCACAGTGTATTACTGTGTACTTAAAGTTACCAGGAAAAGGACAAGTGAAATCTGAGAAGGGCAAAGGATGCCACCCCTGAGACGGGTACTGAACCCATCACATCGCTCTCAAAAAACATTGTGTTGGCTGCCTCAATGTCTAATCTTCCCCTGTACTCATGCAATTGAATAGATATAGTGAATTTTTGTTTTGTTCACCTTCTCCCTTTACAAATATGTTATGGAAGACAGATTGTAAATTCTTATCTGCTGGTATTTTCAGACCCCAACTTTGGAACTGTTGCACTGATAACTGAACAGTGAAACTGCATATCGAAGGTTTAAACAACATGTAATTTTTAAAATGCAAGCTGGTAATATCTGCATGTGATGGAACAGGGTTTTTTTTACAGGCAGAGATGGAGAGAGCCCTTAAGAAAATGAACTAAAGCATGACATTACAACATCTACATAAATGTATTTGTAAATGCCTATTTATAATGCCTTTTAAAAGTCTGCTGTGTTGTATAGTTGAGTAGGCAGCAGATGGAGCTACAGCAACCTCATAACATATTTGCTAGAAAAGTGGTTCAGTATACTTTGGTAACATTTAAATTGCAAACTAAGAAAATTATCCTAATAAATTGCTCATTCTCGTTGATGTCATGGAACACTCATTTACATACAATATGATTAAAAGAAAAGCATTTATACAACAGAAAAGCAAATGTATTAAATAATATTTTAACACATTCCTCAGGAAAATTTAGAGGACAGGTTACACACAACCACTTTAAAATATTTTTTAATTGCCTCCTGCACTAAAGGTAACAGACAGGGCAAATGCTGAAATTTAATTGATCTACTTCCTGATATACTATTACACTGCCATCCAATCCACGTCCAACGTTTTATAGCACTATTATGCCTGGATCAGTAAAGTGCCAAAAAAATCATGTTAACACAGTATTATCATACAGCAATGATTCCTCTACACTGAAACATGACAATCTTTTCTACAAGTCAAAGCTGCAGTATAAGAATGGTATTTATAAAGGGTAGCTATTGATAGTAATTTTCCTTAGCATTTTCAAAGACAGATGAGATCCTCCTGTTTGGATAATTTAGGCTGTGGCTCTGAACAGTCTGCTAGAGAAGCCTGATGACTGGAGAGTGGGGGAGGAATTAGCCCCAGATTAAGATTAATTTTATATGGTCAGAAGTCAGAATTTTTGATTACTTCTTTGATATGTCATTACATCTATCCATAAAATGGCATGTAAAGAAGGTATATATGTTGGCTTAATGTAACAGGTCCTTCAGTCACTCAGAGTCTTCAGTTAAAGCAAGCTAGTAGGCTGCTAGTTGCCTAAGAAATCAGTTGCATGACAAAAAAAAAAAATTCCAAATTCAATTAATAACTTTAGGAAAAATTTGTGATGAAGATGAAGCCCTTAAGTGAGATTAAGAGCACTGTGAAATAAAATTAATTTATGTGAAATATCTGTGAAGAAAAAAATTGAGATTTTTAGAAATGCTGCTTTTAATAGAGAATAAAATTAAATTTGGAGGGGTTATTTCAATCAAAATGTCAGTTTCAGCATACATAGAGCCTGTCAAAAGATATTTATAAGTTTTGATAACTAGAAAGTATGGAAAAATTATTTAAAACAACTGATTCTTCTGACAAAATATTAAAATACTTGGATTTAGAAAAAAAACAACATTGAAAAAAGGACATTTTTCATAAAAATAATTAAATCCAATTAACTGTTTAATTCTGTAAAAATATTTCAACCAACACCAGACCTCAGGAATAAAATACAAGTGTTTGGACCCTCCTGACCAGTGAGGTGTATATAAGGCTCTAGAGAAAAAGAGGAGAACAAAGACTGAATAACGAGGTGGAGAGTTGAGTGAAGCAGACAAAGATCTGCAGACAGAAGTGAGAAACAGTATGGGTCAATAATAAACAAACTACCTAAATTGGCAGTTAAGTAGATAAATGAATGCATAAAACATGAGTCATACAGAAAGGAAATTCAGCAAAACAAAAATCAAGTTGCATGAGGATCAATTTGAGTTCTCTTTCTTTTCATTCCTGTATTCCCAAAACATTACATGAAATTAAAGATATTGGAGACAAATATTTTCTTCCCCTTGTTGACTGCTGGCCTTGATCTGCAATATGGCTTGCAAAATTAACTTTTGTTCTTTCCCTAGAACTAACCTGGCACCTTTTCTCTGATATCTCTGTATCTCTGGATACTTTTTCCTTGCTTTTGTGGTCTGTATGTGGTCTCAGATATTATTAATTGCTCTAAACTATCCAAATACAGCAAAGATACAACAAAACCAATTGATAAGAATTCCCTGTTACTTACAACATGAAGTCCTGTTCCCAGCAAGGTTCACTTCCTTTTCTGGCTATTGTAGTGCTTTTTAAATTTTGGACTTTTAAAACAACATAGGTTTTGAATGCGTCTGAAAAAGAAATAACCAGCACATTAAAACCCACTTTATTTCTTCCTAGAAGCCGTAAACATTCAACCCCATGGCAGTAGGGGTTTAACTCTTACTCCATAGAAAACATTCAGAGGTGTGGTTCAAATACGTGGATGTGAACAAGGAAATTCTTACTAATTCTAATGGGATTATGACAGGAAAATCCCTGCCCATTATAGGTGGGAGAGAACATAATCCTAAATGCGAGCAAGTATTTTAAGGATCAACTTCCAGACATGGCTTCTCACATTATTTATCTGTCTCCCTGACAGATCTTGCATGAAACCAGTACGCATTCCCTTTCTGCAAATTAGGATTTTCTTTGCCTTTCAATTGGTATGATAATATTGGTGACTGGCTAATGGGTTTTTATGTCCAATTAAGGCAAGGCCACAGACTTGTAACATGTAATTCAGTCTTGTCTTTGTGTGTGAATCTAGTTCTGCAGCAGCAAAATGGGTTTCAGATGCAGTCCCAAATGAACTCAAACATTTTTGTAAATGTCTTTGTAAATGTACAGTATAAGTATTCTTAAAATTGGACCTCATCAGCAAAAAGAATAAAATTAAAGTTTTCGAAGTGCTTGAAAATATCACTGACAGAAAAAAGCAAAAGAACTAAGGGAAAGCTCTACCCTTTAGGGCCTCACACAGGAATCTAAGGCAGCAAAGGGCATATGATATCATCTCGAATGTGGCTGTTCAGAAAAGCTTCTCAGCTTGCATGCACGTAACACATCCTTCATTAGCCTCCAGCATCCTATGTGAGGGTCGACATTGACATATGGTTAAGAATTTTTTTTTTTTTTTTTTTAAAAACAGAACTACTGCCAAAATATACATGTGAGATGTAGCCAAGAACAGAAGTAATTTTTGAGCTGCATTAGCACTGGTCGGTCAACCAGTCTGAGTTGGAGGGAAGCTGTCACTGTCTACATAGGCTGTTGAATAGGCTGTATCAAATTACACTGCAGTTAACAAAAAGTGTGAGGAAGAGTTAGCTCTGTACATCCTATATGTAGATCTTATCAATTAGGACTGATTATAATGTTTAACGAAAGGACTAAAGGATGTTACATAATGGGAACTATTTTTTTCAATAAACAAAAATCAACAGTGATCAATGTTATCTATTTATTTTCTGTAATTCAGTGCACCAGTCTTCTCAAACATGTCTTTGTTCTTACACTGAAAAAACTTGACAAAGTCAATATAGATTTAGAAGTCTGGTGACTTATTTGTGAGAAATGTTGTCAACAATGCATGATTGACATACCATCCTATTGCTCATTCTGTGTAACTGAGGCAAACAAAACATAAAATTTGCAAAATGTTTTGTAGTTGCAGAATTTGTAGTTTGGAGGCTTGCAACTCAAGGTTGGAGAAACTTTCAAAGAGAACCCTCCATTAAATCACTTGGCTAAAAAATAGCAGCCTACAATGTTTAACTCCAGCCATTTTGAGCACCCACATCTATACATTTAAATCAAAAATACAACAACCAACCTCCCCCAAAATTAAAACTTATCTCCTTTAAATGAAGCCGTAACCAACAAGATAGAGACTTTTTAAGACACATTTTTAGTGGTAGTCTGTTTCATTGTTCTATTATCTTCATATTCAACTCTACAACTTCTTTCCCATTTGAAAATTTCATGTTCCTATGCATCATGCCAGGTGATCAAAACTAATCACCTTCTATCTTTCCCCAGCTCCTTTTCTAGCACAAAAATGAAAGCAATTTCAGATTGCCTGTATTATCATTGTCTTGCCTGGAACCCTGTCATCTGCCTTTTAAAATAGCTGTTTCTCCAGTAGTTCCTTGACTTCTTTGGATCTTCTCTGGATCTAAATGTTCAGTACTTTACCACTAATTCACCTTCTTCAGATTTCATGAGTTATGTCAAGTAAGAAAATAACTGCGAATATGTAACCTCCTTGAAGAATAACAGTGTCAAGACTGAATAGTATTACAAGACCCTGGCAGTGGAAAGGAGCTGTAAGTTTTGCTTAATGATAAGAAGCTTTGTTTCCACAAAGCCATTATTGCAGCTCCCAACCCTTTGGCTGTCAAAAATGGAGCCATCTAGTGCAACTTTTTGTGAAAAGAAAAAGGGCAGGCTATCCCCTTGCTCATACCTTCAGGTTTCAACCCAAAACAGAGCACAGCAGCTTCATGGCAGCCTACACAAAGTAGTAAATTAACCACAGGAGAATGCCAGAGTTTTGAGAAACATGCAGCTATCTCAATACTGCTCTCAGTCACCACCTATGTAATTTTTCTGCCCACGAAAACATGGCCAATTATCAGAGAATACACCATTCGAACTTTATTGCCATTACTTATGGCATTAACAAGTCTTCAACAGCATTCAAAGGAAAATTAAAGTTACTTAACTTTTATCAGGTAATTCTGTTTGATAATCATCTTTTGTAAATTATCACCTCTTTTGAGTACCAACAAAACACAAGATTTGCTGAAGCCTGCAGAACATTTTTCTGATTGCATTAGGTTTTCAATGAAAGAAAGATGATTCTTCAGTCTATACTTCATACGCATACTTCACAGCCTACTGTGAACTCTCTACTTCACAGAGAGTTAGAAGAATCATGTTCCCGGAAAGCAGCTTAACCTGTGCTAGTTCGGGTTACCTTTCTTTAATCCAGATAACTTTAAATGATTTGCAGAGGTTGCTTAAATGTATTAGCCAGACATCTACTGGCAATTTTTGCAGCACTGATTAGGCTGTACACCAGCTTCTCCTGAGAACTAGTAATTACAAAGATCTTGAAGGCCTTAAATTTACAGTCTACCTACTTGTGAGAAATCTCTGGCTGAGTTTGGACTTTCTTTTCCACTCTGGCTAAATCTTGGTCCTGGAAGCAGACTTAAGAGTCCTGGGCAGCTTGATTTTGCTCATGTTTATTGCCTAGGGCCTATACCTGGTCTCTATAACTGTCCATCAGCATCTCCCATCTGTATTTCCTCACTGGGAAAATTCAGACGCCATCTCCTCCCTGCCCTGGTGAAGCTAAAATCCTGCACTCTCTTTATGTAAAAAATAGTTTCTCTTGACTGATGACCCATTTAGGTCATCAAATTATGTAAAAATTCTTTTTAGTGGAAATATCCTTTAAATACCAATAGTTTGAGAGACAATAAAGATTAATAACTGAAAATTACAGATTGTCTGAGGCCACAATCTTGTTTGTTAATTTGGTTTTTAAAATATATACATATATTTTTTAATCCTTTCCTTATTTGTTTTGTACTGAACTGTTGATGAAATGCATGCAAGTAGTCCCAGGCTTAAATGATTCTTTAGTGTGATACACACATGCATGCACAAGAAATAAAAAAAGTAAAGCAGAAATTAAAAAGGAAATCAGACTTACCAGCTGCTTTATCCAACCTTCCTTTTTTCACTATTAAAAAAATAAATTGATTATATTCAGATAATACCTTAACAATGTTTGCCAATAATTTTAATGGAAAAAAAAAAAAAAAAAACAAACCCTAAGGGATTTCTGTGGTATAAAAAGCCTCAATCAAAAATGAAAACAAGTACTCTTAAAAAAAAATGTAAGCACCACTGTGGTAAGATAATATGATTACGCGGAATTCTTTGGGAAAGAAAACCTGTGGGAAGTCTTTGCAGCTTACAGAAACTTAGTAAATACATTGATACAACACAAAGGGCAGAATGGAGACCAGGTGACCAAGGAGGGCAGTATACTATCCATCACCTCATAATGCTAGTTTGAAATTCTTCTCAATAATAGTCACAGAAGGCTCACAGACTTCGTATAATCTAAAGTAGCTTCTATCACACCTTAAAGAATCCTTTATTACATTGTATTTACTCTGCCTGTTAGAAAAGACATACTGCAGTAAACACCTTACCAATTAGAAAAGTCAACATTTCAAATCCCAACTTTGTTCAACAGCCTTAAGTTCCATGCTACGGTATCACTTCCATTAATGAAAAATGCCCTGAAGCTAAAAGGATTGTGATTCAGATAGTCATCATAATTTTGAAAAGCTAACCTGGTATTGTATTTACTCTGCCTGTTAGAAAAGACATACTGCAGTAAACACCTTACCAATTAGAAAAGTCAACATTTCAAATCCCAACTTTGTTCAACAGCCTTAAGTTCCATGCTACGGTATCACTTCCATTAATGAAAAATGCCCTGAAGCTAAAAGGATTGTGATTCAGATAGTCATCATAATTTTGAAAAGCTAACCTGGTCATCATTTTGTATCAAGTGTCTGACTACTTAAGTTCATTGAATTTAGACTTTTAAACAATATAAGTAAATATTCTTTAAATTTTCCTGCCATATCAATACATGTAAGACAGTTCAGTTCAATCTGAATGAAACATCACTGCAGTCCTACAAAAATTAAACCTGCTCTAATATATTTATGTATATCATATACTTCACTACTATACTTAGGACCTAGTAATTGCCAATAAAACAAAAAGTTGAGTTCACAACTTTACACTGCAAAGGTTCCCAAAAGCTTACCATTGTTTTCCGACTCCCTTCCTACTTGCCTAACTTCACACCTACCTTCCTTTTCCTTATTCTTGCTTTCATCTATCCCTAAAAATCCCTAAGTATTCTATGGAATTGCATCACATTTGCAGAATGTTTATCTGACAGCCTGAATAATTCCATCATGTCTCACACTGAGAAAGCTTTCACTTTCAGCGCAAATGAGGAGACGCCAAACTCTCACTGAGCCACAAGCAGAGTCCAAACACTGCAGCAGTTCAACTGCTGCAAGAGTGCAGAATTTACATGCTGGGCTTACTTGAATTCCCTTGAAGGAAGTACTTCAAGAAATATTCCCATCGACTTACACGAACAATGCGCATCTGCAGTCTATGAAGTTGCTTTTTATAGCCACCTACTAAATATTTGTCACATTGGTGAAGGAGCTTGCGCAATAAGAAAAACCTACCTTTTACAGAGAGAAGTTCCATTCCAGTAGAAAAATATTTTAAAAGAACATAAACTGAAATTAAGCTTTTTTTACAAACAGGAAAAAATTAGTTTGGCTTGAAGACTAAATTACTCTCTTCCTCCTGTTTCCTCAGTGCAAGTGTGTTTCACTTTTCCTGCACGCTCCTCCCATGTTTCTCATGGAGAAAAGCCAGCCAATTGATGGAGCAGTGAAAGACCAACGACAAATTCTTTCTCCCTCTATACACACTCTGAGATGCAAGAGGAAAGGAGAAATATTACAACTGTTTCCTCACCCTCATTTCCTCAACTTCTATCTGCTGTATGCAGCTGCCTCTAGTCTAAACACATTTCTGAATGCCATCTTTGCCAGCAATAATAAAATATAGTTGCACTGAGTTTGTTAAGAACATACTTTGGGAGTTCTTAAACTTTGATTTTAATACTTGCAAAGCATCTGAAGTGTAATACAGAAGGTTTAATTTTTTCTTTTTTTTTTTTTTAACACATTCACATAGTCAGAACTCTTATTTTACTGTATTAGCTATAGCTAAGCATAAGTAGGCTTAATTTTCTAAAATAAAGTGTGAATAAATATTGCACAAAAAGCCAAGCCGAATTTTAATATACTTCATGAATTTCTAATTCTATTGCAACACTTTGTTGGATAGTAAATATTCTCATGCAATGTTAAAATATTTTACAACAACACTGAAATCATTACAAAAACTGTGGTGTTTCTGACTACTTGTTCAGATTAATACTGGCGTTTATCTTTTTCATTTTTAATTGTGGTTAACAGCATATATATTTCCACAGACATACAATATTTTACTTTTAAAATTTTTCGATGTCCATCATATTATAATTGTAGCCTTAGGTCTTAAATTCAAGTAGGGGAGTGTCCTTAGAGCAGAGGGGAGTGCATATGTCCTCTGAGTTCAGGAATGGCTGTCTGCAGTTCCAAGAAACTGGCTCTGGATGATGGCCACACCTCAAAAGAGAGGTGAGAGCTGAGACTCTTTAGCCTGGATAAGAGAAAGTTTGGGGAGGTAGGGTGGGTTTATCAATGTTTATAAATACCTGATGGGAGGGTGTAAACAAGACTGACTCTTCTCATTGTTGCCTAATAACAGGTGAAGAGGCAATGGGCACAAATTGAAACTCAAAGTTTCACCTGAACATAAGAAAACTCGTTTTTACTGTGAGGGTAGTTTAACACTGAAATAGGTTGTCCAGAGAGGATGTGGAGTCTTTATGCTTGGAGATACTCAAAACCCGACTGGACACAGTCCTGGGAAAGCTGCTCCTGCTAGCCCTGTTTTTAAGCAGGGATGTTGGACTAGATGATCTTGAGAGGTTCCTTCCTTGTGATTCTGTGATAGCCCGCAAGGTCAAAAATCTACTAAGTGTGACATTGAAAAAAATTCAGTGCAGGATTTCATGAAAGTCTACAGTCACTCTGCGTAATATGTGTAGTCTTGATTTCCCCTTCCCCCCCACCCCCCCAAAAAAAGTTTCTAGTACTTATGTTGTTTTAGGATCATGCTACTATGTCATAATGTGAAGTTGTTAACATATTACTTTTTGGTCTTGTGTTTTAGATTAATATATTTGCCTATCTCTCTTACAAATTCTATTTATTCTGAACAAGTCTCCCACAGCAGCCTGATAGTCTTAGAGCCAGGTTTCCACTGAAGTTAACAGAGCTAGTCTGCTACGTACTGGTTGAGAATCTGATCCCACGTGTGCATTTGGGTCAAATGAAAAAATATTTACATGGAACAACAATCTAATCACTGTTGACTTAAGGTTCAGTAAACAGAGTCCACAGAAAGCCCTAGCATGAGTCAAAGTTACACAGCTGCATCTCTGTATCCTTCTGAAATTGTGCAAACTTGCCTCCTCTTGCTTTCTTCCACTCACCTTCTCAGATATTGGGGCCCTTCATGTGGAACACTGATTTTCTCCTTGAATCCTTGGGTTCCAGCAGCAACAGCAGTCATTGTGGTTCATTTACTTTACTGCGATGTCATGACTGTTTCTTACATATGCAACTGGGAAAGACATTACGACTTTATGGTAGGAAATATGCAGAGAATACTTGAACATAGGCAGAAGGTCACTGTGGACTGAGAAGAGGGCACATGCAAATGCTCTTTCATTTGGAAAAAGCATTTATTATATTTAACAAAAGAGTAATGAAAAGCACTGAGCTGGAACAAGCTGTCAAGATGGTGTTTGGCTAAAGGGCATAAGAGTAGAAGCTGCAGTACAACATGCATGTTTCACAAACTCATCATTTCAGTACCTCAAGTAATTACCCTACTACTTAGTCACGCCTTCCCCAATATTTTCCCTTTTCCATATTACCATTTCTTATTTAATGCCTGATATTACATTTCAGTTCTATAAGTTGACTTCAATTAAAAGGTCCCAACATTGCAGATCTATATTCAGAATCAGTAATTTAGAAAGACATTGAAAACAAAGAAACAAAAGGAATTGTTCACATTGCATTTTTATCTAAGCTGTATCAAAACTGTCTATACTTTCACTCCACTCTATTCAAAAGAAGAGAGTAATTAGGTACAATGCTGTTATTAAGGATGTATCACCTGATACCTGACACTGTCGAGTGATCTGCTTCCAGAAGATGTATGTAATTATTTTTCAATCCAAATTCTCAACTGATAAAAGGACGATATGATTCTTCTCATTTGTGAGCTTACATTTTTTTTTTTTTACTTCTCTTTCTTTCTATGAATTTATATAGCACATATTAGCAAATTGAAGCCTGCCAGCATCTTCCAGTTAATTCATCAAAAGCAAGGAGATTTCAGTCTGATGATTTACCTACTTGGCATTAGAACCACATATTGTTCTTCTCAGGAAGTTCCTCCTCTACAGGATACTTGTAATGCAACAACTATGGTCATGAACTCATAGCTTTTATTATAATATGGCGCATAAGGGAAACAAGGAACAGGGCACATTTGAATATTGATTGCAAAAACATGTGGGATTCAACCTCTCAACTTTCACAGGAAAATGAAAACACAGCCTATTGCTGTTTTAAGATATCTTAGTTATAGAAGAGAATACTAAAAAATAAACTTGGTGGGAAAAAAAGTTAGCCAAATTTCATTTGATATTACGAATATAGAGTGTAGGAGCAGTTTCCTTGCATCCCTTACATTTCTACCTGTGAACATTACGAAGCCATCTTTTCTTGGCTACTTTTATGCTGACCCATGTGTATTTTTAAAGAACTTTTGACCTCTTCTGAAATTCTCCCCTTGAGAAGAAAGGGAATTTGCTCCTTTGCAAATTAAGATAGTGAGTGAAATTTTCAGCTGATCAACATTTATCAGTATCTCCTTACACTAGCACATGAAGAAATATGCCAGGCACCTCAGAAGACTAGGACATAAACTGGGTTTTTTTTGCCTTCCCCTTAAAGTCAATCATTGGCTTAAAATGAGAGCTAGTGGGAGAAGAACATTTTTGTCTATTATGGGAAAAAATTACACACTCTTCAGATCAAATTCAAAGATAAACAGCTATGTTATCATTATTGTGATCATAACACAGAAAGCTGAAACCAATGAGAAGGAATTCAACCAGGAAAGCAAGAAAAAAAAAATCATTTTTTCCAGCCAGTTCACATCTACCTTTCAGAAATATAGATTCTGCATCCCCAGGTGGATACTATAATTTTCAGTAGACTCCGTAAGTGATAAAAGATAGAAATAATGAACTCTCTAACAAAATATGCTATCAAGAGATACATCATCAAAGTGACAGGATAAGCAGAAAATCAATCAGCTGATTTCTGACCCTGAGAAACTATGAGCAATATTGAAGATAGGAACTACAAATTAGATCAGTTTTGTCCTTGCCTCCAAAAGATAGGCACAGCTATGGCTAGGGATAATAGGTGACGTGTTCTGGGCTTCACAGGAATCACCTTGATAAATGAGTTCAAGGCACTCCATTTACCCTTTTCCAACAGGAAACAAAGGAAGGGCCCTCCTTCAAAATGTAATGTGTTATTAACCATCAAGTACATAGATACAAGTTTTATTGAAATATCTATTCACTACAGTTTTGGAGATTAATAACAAAAAGTCAAGCCACAGCAATAAAAAAATCCTGAAGTTTTAACACAAAGAAAAATACAATAACTTGTCATAGATTCATATTCCACCTGTCATATTTGTGATAGTCACAGGAGCTAGTAGGTTATTAGACTAAAAATAGACATTTCTCACAGGTTTTTTCTTATTCTATTACAGAAAAGTGGTATTTCAACTATAAATAAGTGCCACAAATTTCTAAGTTTTGAATAATTGAATACCTGGAGTTAATGAGAAAACTGTATCATTTTTAATTTGGTCCTAAGCTTTAGAAAAAACAGATTATTCAGTCCAGATTAACCTTAAGGGTTTTGTGTACAAATGTTGCATGTCACTTCACATCTCTCCTTCCTTGACTCCAATTCATAAAGACCGAAGAAACTATCACTTACCTGCCTTACGAAAATAGTGTTGGAATTAACATCTGTACAGCACTTTGGGATCTTCTCATTAAGAATGCTATGAAAAGAAAGATAAGTATTTTTACTATTTTACATAAACAGAAACTGAATATGTACAAACCAGTCATTGTACCACTACACTAACTGGGAAGAGGATCACATACTTCTGATTACGGTCCTTAAGCTTGGGTACTATTCTGCCCCCACTGTGACCTCTGTCTCTTCAGTGATGGAGTCAGTTGGACCACTGAAGTCACATGCCCCAGAAAGCGTGCCCCCTTTGTATAGCAAGACAGATCAGAAAAAGCTACCTTAAACAACGCAAAGAAATACAAATCTCGTAAACAAAAACGTATTTTCTTTTTAGAATCTATTTTAAGCTAAGCAAGATTTTCTAAAGTTTTTATTTCATTGTTAGTAGCTCTGCTAATTAGTATGATTTCTGTAAAATCGCTTGCTGCCACACAAAAATTAAACTGTGCTCATTATAATTAAGGAAGAACAAGTTTCAAAAGAAACTTAGCTCATCAGAGGCCAAATCAAACATTTCTACTCAGTAACTGATAGTTAAAAGTGCAGGTTTGTTCCC